CACGCACACTCCCGTAAATCATTTTCTCGAATGGAAAACAATTCCTTGATGATCGTAACTGTTTTTTCATAGCATAAATGTAACCCATTCATCATTCATCCATAGGAGGAGTTCCCTTATTTGATAATATCGAACTGTGCACTACCATTTTCCTATTACATACCAGAATCATGGAAATGATAACCGCGCCACTAACATCTTCAACTTAGCCTCTTTTCAATCTATTCTTTCTGATTTCACCCCGTCGTTCCCCCCCCCACCCCCCGCCGATTAAGTCTCCCAAGTTCCTTACTAGCGCCGAGATCACTTTTCTACTAAGCTGTCCTGCCCACTACGAAACCATTGTATCATCCTGAGCGGTGATTTTATTTTTACCCAGGAAATATCGTATTGGACGTGGAGTGCTTTCACAAATAGTTTTTTGCATGTTACATGGGTATGCGCGTGTAGCATCAAGGTGATGATCGTTTTTCCTGAGTGACGCTGGGATTGTCGGAAAGGGCAGGAACTGTTCTTGAGGAAGTGTAACCCTTCCCTTTTTCTAATGAGGGAAGCACTCTACGTAATAACTTCGTATAGCATACATTATACGAACACGCACAATTTCTTCTTCTTCTTCTTATTCTTTAGCGTCTGTCCCGCTTGTAGGCGGGGTCCGCTTTTCTGATGTGTTGACGCCACTTCTCCCGATTGAATGCTTGATCGGGGTGGATGTTAACGCTCTTCAAGTCTTCGTGCAACGTGTCGAGCCATCGCTGCTTCGGACGTCCTCTAGGCCGCTTTCCGCGCACGTCAAGGTTGAGACCGATCTTACGGACACTGTCCTCATTCGCGCGAAGAACATGTCCATACCATCGGAGACGGGCTTCGCGCATTTTATCAACAATCGGAGCTACACCGAATCGCTCCCTGATGACATCATTACGAATGCGATCTAATCGTGTGACTCCGGCTGTCCAGCGGAGCATCTTTGTCTCCATCACACCGAGACGGGCTTCAACTTCTTTGGTCGCAGGCCAGCACTCAGCACCGGCCGGATGACGGTTCTATAGATCTTGGATTTGAGACGCTCAGGTATATTCTTATCGCAGAGAACGCCAGTCATCGAGCGCCATTTCAACCAGGCTGCATTCACGCGAGAATTCGTTTCCACGACCAGGCTGCCGTCAGACGCAATTGCTGATCCCAGATACTTGAATGTTGTTGTACGTGTGAGCTCAGTACCATTGATCTTAATAGAGCCTGGCTCACTCGGATCGGTGGTCAAGTACTCTGTCTTTTTGACATTCAACCTGAGTCCGAACATAGCTAGACGGTCGGACCAGGTTTGCACCTGTTGCTCAAGCGTGCTTTTATCTTCGCTAGCGAGCATCACGTCATCAGCATAAAGAAGCGTCCATGGTACCGGCTTCTGGAGATCTTTTGTAATGGCATCCATGACGACAACAAATAGCAGTGGGGATAACGCAGAGCCTTGGTGTACTCCGACAGAGATGGGAAAATCCGTCGATGTGCCGCGGCAGTTTGCACTCGGCTCTTTGGACTCGAGTACAGGATGCACCCACTCAATAAGCTCTTCGGGAACGCCATGCTGTCGTAAAGCATACCATATAACGTCACGTGGAACGCGATCGAAAGCCTTCTCCAAGTCTAGAAAGGCAAGATGTATCGGCTTTTGTTTTTCGCGATGCTTTTCTAGCAGAAGGCGAGCGGCGTGTATGGCATCGATGGTGCTGCAACCAGCAACAAAACCACACTGGTTGGTGGTCAGCTCGACGACGTCACGGATACGACTGTCTACAATTCGCTCAAAGATTTTCATGCTATGCGAGAGCAGGCGAATTGGACGGTAGCTAGTGCAGTCCGCAGGACTGCCCTTTTTCTTCCAGATTGGAATCGTCGTGCTCTGTTGCCAGCTCTCAGGCACCTTCTTCTCTGCAACGACCTGGTTGAAGAACTCCGTCAACCACTCTGCAGGATTCCAGCACTTTGATTTCCACAAGTCCGCCGCTAAGTCGTCAGGACCAGTCGCTTTGCCTGATTTCATCTTCTTCATGGCCGTAATGGTCTCCTCCATGGTTATCTTCTGAACGGGGCCGTGTACTGGCGGAGCGCAAGGGATGGCGGGATGAGCAAATTCGACTGTTGAGATGTTTCTCGAAGTATTCACATCGCTTCAAGGGATGACCACCATCGCTTCAATGCTTTCTCGCGGTCCGTCAGAAGGTGACCATTCGCATCATTTATGCCGAAGAACTTTTCTATATCCTCGGTCTGGCGATAGCGGGTCTTTGCGAGTCGGTAAATGTACCGTTCACCATCGCGCGACTCGAGTTTCTCATTGAGATCGGCAAAATGAGCTGCTTTCGCAGAAGCAACGGCCTTCTTTGCCTCTTTCTTCGCTATCTGATAGCGCTGCCAGCAACCGGCTGTCTTCTCCGAAAGAAAAGCGTGGTAGCGCTTTTTCTTCTCTCTTACTTTCTCTCTAACTTGATCCGTCCACAGCCATGTTTGCTTATCAACCTTTCTCCGTCCAGGCTTCGTCATGCCGAGCTCGGATCGCGCAACCTGGGTGATCGCTTCGGCAGCACCTTTCCAAGTTTCGTCGACAGTCGTTACCGCTGGCAATCGAATGCGGGAAACGACGGCCGCTTCTTTCTCCTTCAGTCGCCACCACTTGATTCTCGCTGGCCCACATCTTTCGGCTAGTTTCGGTCTCGGTGGGGCGATTTTTAGCGTACAAATCAATGGTCGGTGTTGTGTGACGACCGTTTCATAAGGTACTACTTTTGCGTCCGTTACGAGCCCTTGATCACGGTGCCTAACAAGGACGAAATCGATTTGTGTTCTGGTTTTACCGCTATAGAATGTGATAAGATGTGAGTCACGTTTTCGAAATTTCGTGTTTACTATGGCGAGATTATGCGAGTCTGCATATTCAAGAATTCGTTCGCCATCAGTATTACGTGACCCATAACCAAAACCACCATGACAGCTATAACCGTCTTTCGTAGCGCCCACGTGGCCATTGAGGTCACCGGCAACAATTATGGCTTCTTGTGACGGTACCTCAGCTGTCTTCTCATCAAGCAGGTTCCAGAACTTGTCCTTGTTTTGCTCGGAGCATCCAGTCTGCGGAGCGTACGCAGAGAAGAAATGGTATTTTTGATGTTCCATGACGACAACGATCTTCATTAAACGGTCGTCGAAGCGCTCCACACTTACTATCGAATCACGAAAGCGTTCAGAGACAATCATCCCGACGCCATTGGTGGTTCTGGGACCGCCACATAGAACGGCTTTGAAGCCGCGGCCAATGTCCCTCGACTTGCAGCAGGACCACCTCGTTTCCTGCACGGCACAGAAATCAATTCTTCGGCGCTCTAGAGCTTCTGCTAACTCGTGCGAGCGTCCCGTTAACGTGCCAACATTTAACGTCGCAACGCGAGTCTTCCATACGTTGCGGGACTTTTGGACTAGCCTAGTTGCCCCCCGATGCCGTCCTTGCACCGGAGACCCTCGCATACTTTTCACACTCGCCGGGCTTTGCGAGTGCGCGTCGGCTCCCGCGGACGCCGTAGCATTATCTCGAGATACTTGTAGCGACATTGACATTGTGATGTGACTTGGGTGTTCGTAGGCCGGCCTGTCACGGGGGCCTGTCGCCTGCATTCGAATGTCCGTGGTCGGCTCAGCTCACAAAAGTGAGCAGTTTCCAGTGGCACCACTTGGAGGAACGGACATCACCACCCGATATTTGGAAATAAGATTTGATATCATGAAAAAGTTAGGCACTATACATATTAGCTCAAAAAAGCTAAAATCAAGGAAATGCAAAAATTCTTTAGTGGGAATCGAACCACAGGCCACTGTTTTTTCAGAATTTGTGGAATTCCCAGAACCGCACAGAGAAAATGATCCTTAGTTTTATTTTTTATTTATTTATATAACTATTGTACAGGGATTGAAGAATAATTGGCTACAGAACGTTACATAATAATGGTTACAAGTTTTAGTTTAGTTTTACGCTCCTTGCTCATGTCTCTT